TCCCTCCTCATCTCTGCTTCCTGGCTGCTCTTGACTTCCCAGCTAAAATCTCACCTTCTATAAGAAGCCCTTCTTGATCCCCCTTAATGCTAATGCCTTCCTCTGGTTGATTTTCTCAGATTTATCCTACATAATTATTTGCATGTTGTCTCACTCATTAGACTACGAGCTCTTTGAGAACAAGGACTATCTTTTGACTCTTTTTGTATTCCTCATGCTTAGCAGAGTGCCTGGCACACAGAAGGTACTTAACAAATGTTTACTGATTGATATTTTCTTTGACCATTGCTTTATAACAGGGGTGCCAAACATGGGATCACATTCCCAAGTGTGGCCAGAACCAAATTAAAATGTAATTGGAAAATACTTAACAAAATAAAAATAAGACATAAATATCATTACATTTTAAAATTAAATCAATATGCAGCATGCAGGGATCCTTATGCATATTTTAGTGAGCCCTGTTTCTGTTTGATTTTGCTACCACTGCTTTACAACTTTTTAATCACATGCAGTTTTATAACCCCAATCTTGTGAGCTAGTTTAACATTCCCCAAAATTATGCAGATAAAGCTGATTCACATGACTCCAACGAGATACTAAGCTCTCCAAGTTCTAATTTTTTGCTTGCCCTTCTGAGTCTGGTTCCTTCCCAATCATCATATCATTTGTATCAATTATTTTGTTAGGTCTGACTACAGCTGGCAAAGCATGTCATTTTAGTTGGCCAAAATGAAGAAAAAGGGCAAATGCTTCAAACTGAATTTGAAACACTCATGTGCATCTGAGCAGTAGCCCTGATGGATGGAGGTGAAAACGACTGCTGTCCAGGCCTTTGAGCTGCCCGAGCTTCTTATTTTGTTCTATATGATGCACTTATCATAACAAAAAATACGGTCTAGATATGACCACTGGCACATCACTGATGGTAACTGTGATTCCCAAACTTTTTGCAGCTGTGAATACCTTACCCTCATTAAAAAAAAAAGATAGTGTCATTCCTACTTCTCTTCAGAGAGTACTGTGCAGCATCCAGTCATTCAACTAGCATTTATTAAGTGCCTATGTACCAAGCACTGTGCTAAGTGCATGCTTATTTCTTATAATTAAGCTTAATTAAAATTCTATTAATTTTGAGAATTGTATGAGCCCCCTTCCAAGAAGACATTCCCATGAGTTCTCAATTTAGGGTCTGGACTTGGTAGATTAGAGAATGGTTATCAATGAGTAACCTGGGGAGAAAAAATAAGTCACTGCTGGGCTTATGGCGTCACTGCTGGGCTTTATCTGTAATACTTTTATGAGTGGTTGAGATGGTCAAAAGAAAAAAATCCAACATGTCTGCTTAGAATAACTCATATTTATATAACAATTTAAAGCTTAAAAAGAACTTTCTTATAGAACCCTCGTGACAAGTATAAGTAACATTATCCGTATTTTTATTGATAAGAAAACTGAGTCTCCAGACAGTTAAGAGATGTGCCCATGGCCATGCAGTTATGAATAAGGGGCAATGCTAGTATTTAAACCTAGGTCTTTTGATTTCAAGTTCAGTGAGCTCTCTACTGTGTCAGATAGATGACAACAAACCAGGAGGTAAATTGGAAGAAATGACCAGTACTATCATTACAGTATTGGCCTACATTTCTATAGCATAACTATATACCATAGTTAGTAAAATCAAACTTCCTAAGTCAGAGGTAAGAACTAACAGAATGAAATTCAACAGGGAAAAAACTGAGTTAGCATGTAAAGAGAAAATAACAAACAGGTGCAAGATGGGGAATGAATGGCTATAGCAATGACAGAATAAGGGCTCATTATGTGGATCAAAAGCTGAAAACAAAAATGATTCATCAATAAAAAGAAAAAAAAACAAGCCTGATCTTTAGATGCACAAAAAGGAGCACCTTGTAGTCAGGGAGTTTAAACTAATCTTAATCATTGGCTCTAATGCTAAAAGGGAGCTCAGCGATCAACTAAGCCCAACCCTGAGACCCAAAGAAGGTAAATGTTTTGCCTGTTTTCACACAAGTAGTAAGTAATACTAACCTGTAACTGACATCTTCTAATGCTTTCAGGTTTACCAAGCATTTTACAAACATTATGACACCTGATGCTTACAACACAACACTAGTTGAGCTTCAAGTCAGGGCCTGAGTCCAAATCCAGTGGGCATTCTACCAATACACAATCACTATCTTACTCACCACTGGTTAAAACCTTTTAAGAATACTTTTTGTAGTTTGAGGTTCCAAAATGAGAGATGTACCAAGATACTCTTTAACTGTGGACAGAATGTAGCAAGTATACTTAAGCTGCAGAAGGAATCTAGAAAGAAGGAACTAACTCTTGAAATGTAATACTAAACACTGGAACAGATCACTGAAAGAAATCATAAAATCTTGTGGGCAAAATTTTTTGCGATAATAGGGTAATTTTCATTGAGGAATGGTATATTAAAAAAATCCTCAATGTCAAGTACTTAACTCGTAGCCCTATGATTCCATGAAAAGATTGGATTATCAAGAAACATGGCTAGCAAATAACGAATGAATCTTTGCTACTTCTGGACAAATTCCTACTCCCCCTACTTCATCCCCACCAAGGAAAGGCTAGTAAATATAAAGCTTTTATCCAAAATGGAAACATGAAGGGGCAGGGAACAATTGAGTTTTCATTTTAGGCATTTAGCTAGAGCTGAACACACGATGAGAACAATGTTAACCAAAAAAGAAGCTAAACATAAAGGGGTACAAGAACTTTTCAGACCAAAGTACAGTAACAAAGACTAGGAGGAATGAACAGTTGAAATAAAAAAAAAAGGCAAGCACAGCTATGGTCTATGAAGTTCTGGGAGGTCTATCAAAAGATCTCTATCTTCTGAAATTCAAAATGGTTTTACATCTTCTGAACAGTATCAAAGAACATCATGTGACTTCTATGATGAGAATACCAGGAATAAATCAGAAAAGCAAATTTATAGCCTACAAAATCATGTTGCCTACATTTATAAAGAGCTAATAAGTAGCTGAGCAACTTTCTGAGCTTTCGTGTATATATCAACATAAATTTTTTTTGTATAACATTCTTCTATACCATCACGTGAATGATTAATTTATTAATTTCTACATATATATGCATGTGTGTATGTAAATGTATATATACATGCAAGCACACACACACACACACACATATATATATATATATATAAAATACGGAATTTAAAATAAGTTTTACTTGCAAGGGTGCTTAGACACCTTAGACAAGGGTACTGGCTATGTGAAGGGAAAGAATGGGGAAGATGCAAGAGATGTTGTGGAAGTGGAATTGACAGGACTTGGCAACTAACTGGCTATAAAGGTGAGGGAGAATGAAGAGCTATGGATAACTCAGAGGTTGTGAACACAGGAGCCTGGAAGAATGTTAGCACCCTTGTCAAAAATGAAGAAGTTCAGGAAAGGAATGAGTTTGAGAGGAAGGAATAGGTTCTGTTTTGAACATACTGAATTTGAGATGCCTACAGAAAATTCAGTTTGCATTTTCAAAAGGCAGTAGGTGATGTGGGAATGCAGTTTAGGAGAAAGATTAACGGCTAAATGTTTAGATCTGACAGTGATCGCCATAGATAGCAATTAAAACCATGGGAACTTATGAGATCACTGAGAAAAAAAATGTCTAGGTTGGTAGAGTTTAGTCATAGAATCTGGAACTGTGCCCATGGTTGGGGGTGGGGGGGTAAGACAAAGATGATTAAGAAGAGACTTGGAAGGAGCAACCAGACTAGAGAACTAAAAAACCCAGAGAAGAGATGATTCAGGAGAAGGTAGTTAACAGTGTCAAAACACCAAGAAAGATTAGGACTAAGGAAAAGCAATTCAATTCAGAAATTAAGAGATTGTTATTAATTTAGGAGAGAGAAATTTCAGTTGAATATTGAAGCAGAAAGCTAGATTGGAAGGGGTTGAGAAGAGAGCATGAAGCAAGATTATTGAGTGGACAGCTTGTGACTCCCACCCATTCCTCCTAGGGAACAGCTACAGGAAAAAGCACTGTAGGATGGTAGCATGACAGGATGGTAGAATCAAGTGAGTTTTTTAAGGATGGGAGGCGATATGGATATCCTTTAGCAATCATATTTCCAGTTTTTGGTTTTGTTTTTGTTTTGGCTAGGCAATGGGGTTAAGTGACTTAACCCAGAGTCACACAGCTAGTAAGTAAGTGTTATATGTCTGAGGCCAGATTTGAACTCAGGTCCTCCTGAATCCAGGGCCTGTGCTCTATCCACTGCACTACCTAGTTGTCCCCATATTTCCAGTTTTACAGGTATCAGATTTACCTTTACATTTCTTACTCCTATTCTAAGTCATTCTAGAGGTTTTTACAATCTCTCCATTTTCTGTTCTAAAAGTACAGGGTTTTTTTTTTGTTTTTGTTTTGCTCTTTCCTTTTGGAGATTTCTCATTGTTTTCTTTTATCCTGTAGAAATCATTCATTGTATTGGATCTCATTTTGCTGGTCATTTCTTTGGGAGTTCTATTAGCTTTCCCATGAGAGGAGCTTTCTGTTCCCTCTTCTCTGGTTTTATTTTTTCACTTTATTCAGTGCGTCTCTTTACCAGTCAAGCTCAAACTCTGCGAGGCTCCCAAGCCAGTTGTCCTTGCCCAGACAGGCTCCACTCCTGGTTTGCCAGGATTCTGACTGGAGAACACAGTACAGTGAAGAAGGTGTATCACCTTCCCTATTCTACTCAAGGACTTCACTATCAGCAACCTCTTTCTTCTACTTCCATAACAACCAATAACAAACAACGACAATGTCTCACATTTATCTAGCACTTAAGATTTACAAAGCATTTCCCTCCAAACAACTTTGTAAGGTAGGCAATTCCATTTATTTCAATTCAATAAGTGTTGATTGAGCAACTACCAAGTGCCAGGCCCTGTGAGAGGCACTAAGGACACAAACAGAAAAAACACCAAACTTGTGCTTAAAGAGCTTATATTCTCCTGTGGGAACACACTATGTACATAGATAATGGATGGTGATGTAAGAACTGGTTGAAGGGCTAGAGGATATTTAGTCTGGAAAAGAGAAGACTCAGGGGGATGTGACAGCTGTTTTCAGGCTGTCACATAGGAGACTGGTTCTGTGTGGCCCCAGAGGGAAGACCCAGGAGCAAAGAATGGAAGTCACAAGAGGACAAATTTCAGCTTACTTCCTAGCAGTCAGAGCTGTCCCAAAGTGGAACTGGTAAGGCAAGTGTTATTACCTCCACTTTACAGATGATTTGTTTTTTTCACCAAAAGGACTGCTGCTATGTAAGGGTAATCAGATACAATATCATCAATAACAAAAACTTAGAAGTATATAATCTGGAAAAACAATTCACACTGTCAAGATTGATTGGTTCCGCGTGCGTGCGTGTGCATGTGTGTGTGTGTGTGTGTGTGTGTGTGTGTATCCTTTTCTTCTTCTCTTCTTCCTTTCACCTCACTGCTATTGCCAGCTCCCCTCAAACAAATCTATTTCCCTAGTGATTAGCCTTTCAGCCTAATGGAGGTGAAATGTGGAAGGAAGAACTAAAATAAGGTTTAGAGAGAGTCATAAAAATAAAACGCCCACTCTATCCCTGGTTCCCCATTTCCCTAGAAAATGTAAGATGTGGTTACAAATAGGACTCCCTATTTGCTTAGAGTTCAATATAAAATTCCTGGAGTGATGATGCTCTGTGCTTGGAAGCCTATGGTCCTTTGCCTGAACTCATTTGTACAGATGTTCAGAAAATCAGTTCCTCCTTCCCTTAAAAGTTGACATCCTGTAGAGTTTGCCCTGAGGCCAATGGGCAGCAATGACCAACTCGGAAACATTGCTTCCTTCAGATTTAATGAATAATTAACTACCACAAACATGACAGCAGACCTGTATAGCTAAGTTAAAGGTATCTTTCCTACCCAAACCCCAATAATACATGTAACAAAAATTTGCGAAAAAATGGCTTCCACTTATCACATGGGTTGCCATGTGATATTAGAAATGCTGGGACTATTTGTTTAGTATATTATTTTTTCTTAGCAACTTGAAATTATTTCTTTTCCTAGCTATAACTTTCAGTCTGTTAAATTAGAGGTTTAAGCTATAGCTGAGCTGGGTGAACATAAAAGGGTGATCCATTAATTATATATCTCATCTTAATGAAACTTTGAGCATCTTTCAAGATACAGTTACTGTGACATTCAGCTAGATTTTACCCTTATTTGGTCACAGTGATCTGGAAGTGAGGATCAGAAAACATTGATTGTAACGTAGAATGTCAGGGCAGATACTGAGAGGAAGAACGCAATATAGGGAAATATGGGAGAAACTTTTATGCAAAGATAGTACAGACATCATTCACACAAATGGAAAACTTGTTTTTGAACTCTCCTTCTGACCCTCATGCACCAACAATCTGCACTCCTCTTTCCCTCCCCCTCCCCTTTTTCCTCTTAGGACTGCATCTCACACTGTGTCTCTGTCTTAACCAGAGCTGGGGGAAGGGGAAGTTAGCCCCCAAGATAAACTTGTCAAAAGCTATGCACCACAATCCTAATTCCTCTCTACCTGTTTGTGAATGTCAGCTGGGAGCAGATCCTGAAAAGCTTTGGAGAAAAAAAAAGGAAAGGGGTTGAGGGAGAAAAGGGGAGAGAGAGGACAAAGAAAAACCAGAGAGTGCAATTCAAACAAAAATGAAATAAAACACACACACACTCAGGCACACAAAGAAAGGGAAAAAAATGTCCCCACCAGGTCCTCCCAACTTACTTCTTTATCAGAGGTTCATTGTCAATCAATTAGCCAAGACAGCAGGGGTCTGTGGGGTGGGGGGTAGCATGGGAAACAATGGGCAGCCCTGTTGTATTACTATTTAATCACTTTTGCTAAATAAATAGAGCAGCCCTGAGGTGCTGTCATGTCAAGGGAATTTAGAACAAAAAAAACTTCATTTTTCATTGGTCATTATTTTTTTTCCTGCAGGACAAGAGAGGGTTATTACTGTAGCCTTAAGTTCCATCTTTGTGTTTCTTGCCTTTGATTCCACTCGGACCCTGCCACTTTCTGGCACTAATTTGTCAGGCTGCACAAAGAAGGGATTTGTACCTCCTGTAAGGTCTCAATTAGGAATGGCTTCTGCTGTATTCTGTGCCATTCAGACGGGACACAATGACGGTAATTACAGGAATTTGCACTAAATGGCAGAAGAATTCACAGCAAAACTTTTTTCTCCCCCTACAGCTTGTCCCTCCCCAAGGCTGGACACCCCCCCCCCAGCTCTTCCCAATGCTCCGCAGCGGCCAGGGAGGTTAAACAGCAGCCTGAGGAGTAAAACAGCAGAAACTGCCTAGTGTGAAAACTGAGGCAGGGAATAGCCAAGGCTCACTGTTCCTCCTCCACTCTCTTATTTCCATAGCCTAAGTTCTGAAACAGGGGAACAGCACTGCTCACAGTTCAAGATGACATTAGTTACACATGGGAAGATTTGAAAACATTCCTGTGTGTGTTGTCACAACTTGTTTATATAAGCAGCTGAATGCTTTTTCGAAAGGGTTCTGATAGTTATGCTTCTGGATTTTTAGACTATTCAACAAAACTCTGTTTTATAATACTATTGCCAACTAAAATATATGCACATTTCACATCTTGAAATTCCCTGCATAGATACATTCATACATATCTGGACCTCTCCAGATGCTAGGCTGCTTCCTCACAACCTCCAGCACCTCGGATATGGCAGAGCATTAATTCAGAAGCACTTGCACAGGGTGCTTATTGGAGGTTTTTACCCCACTGATGAAGAGGCAGGGGAATGTAAGAACAGAAGACCAGCCCTGAAACCTGGAAGACGTGGCTTTAATTCCTGCCTCTGGGAGAGACTAGGTGTTGGCATGGGCAAGTCCCTTAATCTCTCAGAGCCAAGTAACTCTCAAAGACTGTAAAATTACAGCTGAATTGGAGGGAGCTTCCCATACTGACGGTAGTCCACGACTCCTAAGTCCAGACACCACTACCAATGACAACAACAAAAGACATGATGACAATGTCTTATCAACCAATTAATATTTTAATGATACGTACCTCCTACCCATGACTTAAAGTAACATATTACATGGTTTTACAAATTTATTACCTATTACATGGTTTATTACAGATTTCATGGTCTCACACCGTAGTTGTGAGAAAGGAATTTGTAAATCTTAAATAGCTTTATTCCTGAAAAGCTGTTCATAAAATTAGACATGTGTAAATGAAGCCACCGAAATGCTAATTCCCCTTTAACATAACTTTTATCATGTGGTACTTATGGAATGAATAATATATGTATTCTCTGTTCAAAAATCTTCATGGGCCCCCTATTTAGTCCTATATCAAATGTAAATTCTTTTTCCTGGCTTTCAAGGCCCTCTATACTCATGCCTGGCCTTGTCTCTCCCACTTCATTTTTCACTACTTCTCTCCCTTCTAGTAACTGAGGTATCTTCATTGTCTCATGAACACAGTCAGCCTCACTTCTGCCTCCATGTCGTCTCCTTCACATAGCTTCCTCTACCTAAAATCCTGGACCTAGCTCGGTAATTATTAGCTAGATTGAACAGTTTCCTCATCTATAAAATGTGGGGGTGGTATTACTGCAGATGATTCCTATGACTTTTCTGAGCTTCAACATTCTAATTTTCTACATCCTTCCAACCTCTGAATCTGCTGTACTTCTGCCTTTGGCATGAGTCCTTCCCTAACTCTTTCAACTCTCCCTGGAGCCAGCCTGGTGGAGGAGGGAGAACAAGAGGACTGGGTACGAAGACCTGATGTGGGGTTGATTTCTTTATTTGTGAAAAAGGTCCCTTCCAGTTGGGTAACTCTAGGAGTCTGATCAAGAAAATACACTCAAATGTCCTTTTGGCTCTAACATTCTATGAGATACCCTAGCATGCATTTGATTTTCCTTTTCTCTGAACTCCTAGAGCACCTATGCAATCAATAATGTCATATAGTTTAGCACCTGATTCTACTGGGTGCTATTTGTTTCACTACATATTCATTTTATCTTCCCATCTCCTAGAAAACAGGAACCACATTTTAAACTTCTTTATCTCTTGAGGTATGTCGATCAATAAATACTCATTGCTTGTTCTAATTGATGGCATTTTAAATACACTAAAAAGTTCATTACTTATAGGAAATCAGAGGTCAAATGTCTTGGTAAAATTAAGAAATCTAATTCAAATAACAACTCCTTAATTTACTGGTTATAAAAATCTAGCTCTCTCTGAGTACACATACCTGTAGAATAATTTATAGCCACACAGCAATTTGTACAGCTAACCATCAAATTTTACTTGGTAACCTTTAAACTGAAGATCATATAATAATACCCTAATAAGCTATACAAATACATACACATTATGCAGACTTACAATTAAGAATGCACACAGCGAATCAAATGAAGTAGTAAAAAGACAGGCGTGTGAAATAAGAAATCTATAGTCATGTAAATATAAAGCACAATAAGTTTTCAAAAGCCAGGCCTCAGGACTTTCAGAATGATAACATCCCACAGTCTCTGGAAGGCATGTATAAGATTTAAAAAGGAACATAGAAAATTCTTTTCCTTACCAAAAGAATCTTGCAAAACAAGACCATTTGCAATACTTAGTGAACTGAAAAGCCAATATTTGTGGCTCCCCTAGGGAACAGCAAATGAATGATACCCTAGGAAAGAGTTACCCAGCGGAATTCTTATCCGTATTATATTTTTATGTTTTATGATTCTCCCAATATTTAAGGGGGAGGGGCAAGGAGATATATCAACATGAAAAAATATGTTCTCTAAATATTGAAGTATTACAAACTATTAGTTGTAATTATGAAAAGTTAAGTTCAATTTAAAAGTATATATTCCAAGTGCTAAGCATTTTTTTTATCAAATTCCTCCTTCTCCACCTAAATGTGTGTGTATGTGTGTGTGTGTGTGTGTGTGTGTGTGTGTGTGTGTGTGTGTGTGTGTGTGTATGTTTTAGTGTAGTTATAAGGCTAAAAGAGGTGGCTAAGAAATTAAGAATCATCAGGTCAAGTGTATCTATATTTGAGAAATATAAATCCATTTTAAAACATTATTTTGCCATCATGACCTCTGATATACAGAATATCAATAGAGAACATTTAAAAGAAAAATACTCCATTGCATCACTTAGAAGTTATTCTTTTTTTCCTTTTGAGATTCTGCCCCCTACAGGAGACAAAGCATTCCTACTTGTGATAGAAAGGATATTGGTATTCAAAGGACTGGAGGAAAAGGATGACAAATAAGTAATAGACAGAAGCTATACATACATCATGGACTTTGAATGCAGCACTTCCCAAAGTAAAAGAAGGATTTAAGTAAAGCAAAATCCTTCCCTTCTGGAGTGTTTCATACTAAAATGATCCAGAGAAATCACTGTTATGCCTTCACCTATCCCTCCACCCCACCCCAATTACAAAACTGCACCTTTTCCTAGTGTAGTCTTAATAGAATATGGGAGAGATCTGAGTGAACTTAAGTTTCAAATCAACAACACTCAATATCTCTTGGATGCTTTCCTCATTACCACTTCTACTCCTGTGATTGACACAATACCTACTTAGCAGATTTTAGTTTATATTATTCTGTATTATAGATGTCTGCTTAATATCACTGTCATATTGTGGGCAAAAGGGGACTGATTATATTTAATTTAATGATCAATATCCTTTTAAGCAAATGATGTCTTTCCCCAAAAAGAGACATCATCATTATATCACTAAATATGTACTTTTCTACTCTATCTTCATTAGTTCAAAAGTTTCATTTTTCAATTCAGAAAGCAAGGACTGAAATCCACAATTTAGTTATAGCCAAGAACATGTTTCTTGTTTATCCTTAAATCCTAGATATTCTCTCTTGTTCCTTTAAAAAAAAAGTCTTTCTGTTCTGGAAAAAAAAATTCTCCTTCCCCTGAAACCTGCAAATCTAAAGGACAGGAATGCAAATTTTCTCTATTAGACAAAAGTCTTCTTTCATTCTTAATCTTACTGTTCATAAATTGTGAGTGGGGTTTATTTCAAGTAGGATGATTTTTAAAACAGATCCTATTTAAATTATTCTACAGGTAAATATTTTATTTAAATTAAAATTTTAGATAATTACTTTAAATTAAGATTTTCTCAGAACAACAAATTTAGTTTTGGAGAAGAAAGAAGTAGAGCTTTGAAAGATCATAAGTTGACTAAAACCCCCTTTTTCATATCTTATAGTAATACAGTTGCTCTAGAAGACATCAGCTATCCTATTCTTCCCCCTAAAAATGAGATACTGGTTCATTGGATGGGTTATGACCCTGCTAAATAAGTTTTTCATTTTAGCCAGCCCTAAACTTTCCTTAGGGGATAGCTTTCCAGATTCTTACCTAATAGGATCAGATGAGATCACTGTCAGAAGACAGTTACTGACCCTAGGAATTGCCAGTACTTTTTACTGATATCTTTTTTTTTTAACATTATCTACATTTCCCATCTGTATATTTCTAGTACCTCATTCCAAAGAGCAATCCTTCATAACAAAGAATCAAAAAGAGATTAAAAAATCAGCTCAGTAAAACTAACTAGCATATTGAAAAAGTTTGCAATGTCTCCCACTTCTGCAAAGCAGAGGGGGAACCTTCTCACATCTCTTCTTTAGAGCAGCCCTTCCGAAGAGAGTTGTGAGTCTACCTTTGGAGCCAAACTTCTTACCTGGGATCAAACTTCAGTTGCCAAATGTGCAATGATCCTTATTCAGAGACCTAAGACCTGGGTTCTAGTTCTGTTTATGCTTTGGTCAAATTACCTTTGATCCCAAGTATCTGGTGAAATCTAAGCAAGTCACTTCCCTTCTGGGGGCCTTAGTTTCTGTACATAGAAAATGAGGGGTGGGGTGGACTACATGGTCTTTAATATCCCTTATAACAGTAGATCTATGATCCTATTATTATATAGCTCCATAATATGGCCTATAATCATTGTTTGCATGAGGATGGGTTAAAGTGTTTAAATTGCTTTTGGTTTCTCAGAGAAAAGGTATTTTTGTCAATGGGAAGTAACTTTGTTTCTGGAGGGAATTTCTATAATATTTTCACGATATTCTGAATTTCCTTTAATTATATTTTAAGATGGAATAAAATATACTTTGCTTCTTACCTGCACACTTAAAACTCTGAGCAGTGAGACCTCTCTCCAAGGACAGGGTTGTGAGAATACTCAGGAAACTGGTAGTCACAGACTGGCGTTTGCTCTTCCTGAGATCATGTCCACCCATCTGATCCCTAGATTTGTTTCTAAGAGTGACTTGTAAGTTTTGCCCTAAACTCCTTGCTGCATTGGCAGCTGTTTTCAGGGCCTCCATCCATTCTTGTGCCCTTTGCTGAGTCTCAGCCCGTAGGCGGAGGACATCTTGTGGGAAGATGACTTGAAAACAGGAGTCACAGTCATCCAGGTTGTCAGTCTGAACAGCTAGGCATACATCAACATTGTAGCTCAGCAAGGGATCCTCATCTAGTCGACCAGGCTGAAAAGCCATGAGATAGGCTTTACTCAGTACAAAGGTAAAAGCCTTCCAGTTATTTTGGACAGTGAGTCTATAAAGTGTACCAGACTTGAGGATGTTTTGGTACTGTTTAGAGCTGTCTATGAAAGCAGTTGATTGAAGCAGCCCATTGGACTTCTGTAAGCACTGAGTATGAAGAAAGTCATCATGTCCTAGCATTGCTGAGTTTTCCAGTTCATCGCGTTGCCCCATGTAAGTTGGCACAGCAGCATGCACCACCTCCCAAAGTTTCTGTCCCCAATCCAAGGCTTCCCATGGTGACTCTGCCTTCAGCTGTAGCTGGGTATTGTCAGATAGGAATGTATCCACCATTCTGGTCTCAAGGTTGCCCAGGACCGATATGTTCTGGAAGCGTGAAAGCTGGTAAGTGGCATAAAGGTTCTGATTGCCACGTTATCAAGACAGTAGAAGTACAGATTATATGGCGAAAGTTCAGCATAACAGCTTTGCCAGTAACTGTCATGATCTTTCCTAATTTCGAGGTAACCCTTCTTCAGAATATTTGGGAATGTTTGTCTATGTTCTGGAAAAAAAAGAATAAAAAGGTGATTAGTTTTGAAAACTGAAGTGTACATCATTTTAGTTCATATTAAACAAAGTGGCAGGCAGGATTCCAAGCTGGTGGCTCATATTTGGTGAGATATAAAAGGGGAAGTGGGGAAAGTTTTGTTCTAAAAAAAAAATTAGAAGGAACTTGAGAGACTACCTAGTCTAACTCCTTCTTTTTACAGGTCAGGAAACTGAGACTTATTGGGATGATGTGATTAATCAAAAGTCACACAACTAGTAAGTGATCTTCAACCCAGGGCTGCTGATTTCTAAATCTAGTGAATTCTCACTACATTAGTTACAGAGATGATCATATTCTAAATTTCAGGAATGAAAGATGCTACCCCCTAAATCTTAGTACAAACATATTCAAATAAACCATGAAATCCTAAAGAACAGTGTGACTCACCCCCTGGGTCAAAGGTCCTTTGTTTACAAAATATCAGCAGTACCTATACCATAGTGGTTTTGTTGAGAATCAAGTGACAGTGATGCCAAAAAAAAAAAGAGAGAAAAAGTAAAGAACATCAGTGAGACTTTTAAAAGTATGAATAGAAGAGAAGAGAAAAGAAGTCCAACGGACAAAAAGAAGGTCAACAGTGGAACTAATGTGCTGAATTTTTAATATATCTTTTTAAAAAGTCCATCTGTGTATAACAGAGATTCCCGGTTTCATACACAATCTTCCAAAAGCTCTTCTTTGTATATAGAAATGTTCATGTTTGATATGAGAGCCCATCAGAGAATTGTAAAAGAATAACAGAAATATAATAATATAGTTAACTAAATAATAACTAAACAGAAATATAACAAATAACAAAAATTTAAAATAAATGTTGAGCCAAAATATGAAAATTTCAGTTAAATTTATAGTCTTGCAGGGGTGAGGAACCTGCAGACTCAAGACCACACGCAGCCCTTCAGGTCCTCAAGTGTAGCCCTTTGACTGAATGCAAACTTCACAGAACAAGTCCCCTTAATAAAAAGATTTGCTCTGTAAAATGTGGACTCAGTCAAAAGGCCATACCCCAAGGACCTAGAAGGCCACACGTGGCTTTGAGGCCAAGGCCACAGCTTTCCCACCCCTGGAAGGTATATATAATATCAAATATTTTTAATGTGTTGATTTGCTGACTTTTTTTCCTCTTTTTAATTTTATTTTTATAAGGGCTAAGTCTCTGAGAAGAGGACCTACCCATGAAATGTAAGTGATATAAACAAAAAGGCTTTCAATAAAAATTTATTTCTTAAAAGCTTAAACAGCATATTCTAAGAATTCCAGTCTCATTGAGTACAAATCTTATTAGCAAAGTACAAAAAGAAGAAAAATCTAAACAAAAAATTACAGTACTTTCTCATTTTAGATTTACGTCTTAGTCCAACTTGAAAAAGTTGTGGTCTATGATTGTGATGGAATACCACTATGCTATAAGAAATGATAAGCTAAGTGATCTTAGAAAAACATGGAAAGACTTGCACAAAACAATGAAGAATGACATGAGCAAAACCAAGAGAACATTGTGTACAGTAACAGCAATATTATTATAAGAATGACTTTGAGGGAGTAATTTTGACTATTATAAATACCCAAATTAACTATAAAGGACATATGAAGAAAGATGTTATCTTTATCCAGAGAAAGAAATGATAAATAGAAGTATATATTGAATAATTTTATATAATATATACCTATTTGTATCTCATGGTAGCCATCTCTAGGGCAAAGGAAGAGAAAAGAAAAAAGAGGATAAATTTACATGATAATATTATTATATATTTAAAGGGAATAGCAAGTTATACATAACAGATTTGCAGTTTCATGAGCAATCACCTTTTTATAACGTTATGGAAATGCTTGTTTTATTTCATAAATTAAAAAATTAATTAATTGATTAATTGAACCCTCTTAACTGAATGCTTTGATAATGCTTTGGTGAAAAGACATTTGTTCTGAAAAAAGAATCTTGGTGAAATAGGCTTCTTTTGTAGAACTTTGATATAAAGGCTTTAACAATCCATTAGCCAAATAGTGTGAGGTTAAAGAGTTATAAGGCCATGTTTTCCAGGCAACATTTCAATGGGTACCATGTTCTGAATAAAGAAAAGACAACCTGGGTATATTAACTTAAAGCTCTAATGCCACTCTACCAGATGTTCTGTTGGTTAATATCCCCAACTTTCCTTCAGTTGTTATAGCTGTGATTATAAAGTTGTGGAGGTTCAGGGATTAAAAAAAAAGTAGTTTTAAGAGGGTTGCTTATTTTTCTTATTGGTCCAAACATCTGAGTTCATTGGTGTAGGGAACTCCTGTTAGGAAACTCCATTTACCAATGCACAATAGCAACTCTTCAGCAACTTAAGTATCCAGAGAGTTTTCAGGAACTCTTAAGAGGTTTAATGACTTACTTGCCCAAAGTCACTCAGATGGGGTAGCTAAATGGCACAGCTAGGTGGCACAGTGGATAGATCACCAGCCCTGGATTCAGGAGGACTTCAGTTGAAATCTGACCTCAGACACATAACACTTACTAACTGTGCGACCCTGGGCAAGTCACTTAACCCCACTGTCTAACCAAAAAAACCCAAAACCAAAAAACTCCAAAAACCAAAGTCACTCAGAAAGTATCTGTGTTCTAAACCTCAAAGGCCAACTCTCTTCCTTTCCTCCTTCCATCCTTCCTTCCATTCTCTATATATTGCCTCCAGATGCTCAGTCTTCATATATGCTGCCTGAATCATCTTGATGCTCCTACTGTTATCTCTACTCTATCTGTCCAAGCCACAAATTTATAATAATAAAATGCAGTACCTTACTGTCTTAACAAAACTTGATTGTCATTTGGGTAACTTTCCTTATGCTTTATCATTGCACATACCAGGTTGGAATGTATTTTGCTTTCTGAGGAGTTTCCCAAATTTTAACTTAGTAAGACTGCATACAGATATAAATAAATTTAACCATCCCCTAAAGAGGACACATAAAACTACCAAAGGTTGTGAAGGAAGAGAAAAATAGGGATCTAGATCTTAAAATAGAAAACAATCAAAAGAAATGAAAGTCAAAGAAAAACCAATTTTCTTTCCTCTACATCTCTAGCCCTGACATTCATTAGTATTTCTGTGCTAACTCAAAAGCCATTAATTTCTTTGAAACCTACACTAATCTCTTTGTAAGTACAGATAATGGTGCAGTATTATCCTCTAATCATCTTACTTTTCTGTTAATCCAATAAGGGAAGCAGAGCTGTCAGAAACACTGAAATAGTGCCTACCCCTTTCATTTCTATCAAGTACTGATGATAGGTTCAACCTACTTCACAATAACACTCATGACCATACTTCCCTCCAACATCCCTCTGAGGACCCACAAGCTCACCTGCTTTGCAGTCAGGAAAATAAAAGCTATCTCTACTAGAAAGGAATTTTCCTCCCATCTCCCTGTATCCATAGAGTGCTTTACTACAGCTCTTGTAAATTAAGACTTTTTTAACTGGGGAATAATCAGCAGTCAGCTCAATTAAAACAAATTTATCATACTCTATGAGTCAGACGAATGGATGCTGGCAATAGGCATATTAATCAAGAAGCCTCATTACTATCTCTCAAATGTAATCCCTTCTTTCGTTTCATTGATGTACAATGAAGGTAAAAGATACATTTCCATTTGGTGTCCCTCAATTTCTGCCCAACAGCATCTCTTATCTTTTGTCTGTTATCTCTAAACAGGGAAATTAAGTCGAGGCAAAGAAAGGGGTTAATGTAGTGCATTTTGCACTACACTGTCTTGAAAAAAAAAAGAAAGTAACTGAAGATATTTTGGGATGTACCTCCTCTTCTCTGAATAGCTTGTTTATATTATGAAGTGTATGTATATATGCTTTAATATACATATATTATATACATGTTTATATTACATGTATACATGTCTATATATGTATATCTTATACACACATGTATACATATATATGATTTTGGAGGTTTAGCCACCTAATACTTCTTTTTCTTTATACTCAAATTATTTTATTGATTCTACATTGGTAAATCAAAAGCTATGTCGTCAAGCATACAAATTTAATCAGCTTGCTATTTTTCTACTCTTGCCTGAATTGATGACCTTTTCCAGTTAATATTCTTTCTCATACCCAGTCATTCAAAAATAACATGATCATTATATTCCCCAAGGTCCTCTTCTAAAGTTTAACTCTGAGGCTTCTTTATAACATTAGAAGATCCAGAAAGCAAAAGCACTGTAAAGTGCTCTGAATGCAGAAATGGTTTATGTACAGACCCAGTGATGGACTGACTGCACATCTGTCACCCAAAGATCAGCTCAGGTAAATGTAGAGAAGGTAAGTGTCAGGTGGTTGTCCACCATGGGTTAGGGGGTTGGCTATTTGTGATCACAGAAGCTTAGGAAGATTGTGTACTTAAGGCTTAGGAGTCATGGACTGCATTAATGGAAGCGTGCTGTTCACTTGTTGTAGTCATGTCTGACTCTCTGACTCCATCTGGGGTTTTCTTGGCAAAGATACTGAAGGAATTTACTATTTCTTTCTCCAGCTCATTTTACAGATGAGGAAACGGAGGCAAACAGGGTTAAAATTACTTGGCCAGGATCACACTGCTAGTAAGTGTCTGAGACCAGATTTGAACTCATGTCTTCCTGACTCTAGGCTCTATTCACTGTACCACCTAGCTGCCCCTAGTGGAACAGTTTCCAACAGCAATAAAATCACACATTTAAAAAAAAAAGATAAATATACAACTAGCTATTTTTATTACAGATTCTCCAGATATATTTTTAAAATATTATTTCCATTTCACCAATAAAGAAAAGAGAATCATAGAAAGGTGACTTTAGTGAGACAATACTTCATTAAAAACTGGTCATTTTCCTATCGTCTTTCTACATTTTGTTAAAGCTCTGGCTCATCTCATTTCCTCTTCTGGTATAGAGCCTGATTCCTTCTTAACATGCAACAGTGCTTTGTACATAGCAGGTATTTAATAATTGTTAGGGACCAAAGAGGAAATGAGTAATTTTACCTGCCAGACATCTTTTGTAATCAGCACCACCATCTCGTTTCATAAGAACATCTTCACTCCGTGGGACAGAAAATTCTTCCAAGTAGCTTTTTTCTGCAGAATTGGATGATAATGTTTGGGGAAGGTTTTATAACAACCAAAGCAGATATGTGGCGATCTGATGTGTATTTCTTTAAGAAAAACAACAATTGGACCTGCCAATTCAGAAAACAAGAAAGAACAAGCTGGGGAACAAATTCCACCCAGCTTCCAGCACTGGCTCTATGGCCCCCTGCCATTTGGGAAGCACTGTGGTGACCTCGGAAGAACATCATTGCCATGAGAGCCAGGAAAACAAGAAGCTCTGGACTAAGGTTTCTGTCATTATTCTCTATGATTATGGTTACTTTAAGAGCAGCATTGCAAGACAAAGCCACTCTCTTTATTGTGCTATATAAAAAAAATGGATCTGCTTCTTGGTAAAAAGCATTTTTACAAAATTCTCTACTACTGAATTCCCTTCTCTCCCACACCTGCATCTAGAGCAAATGTTTAGGATATTGGCACTCACATTCTCTTCTCATAAAGGTCACAAACATACTTATGAAATGAAACATAAGAGAACCAACTTGAATGCCCTATAAAAAGCAGGCACTCGAGTGAACCCAGTTCCAGGTTTCGGAAATTATTTTTTAGCAGCAAGATCTACAGTCTATCTCTAGCCCAGTGGCATTATGGACAGTAAAGGCTCTCAGTTCATCTCTTACTGGATGTACTAGGTAGTCGGTAGGCCATGTGTCAGTCAGAGAGAGCGGAAGGTCTCCAGAATTCTCTTTAGCCTAGGCCTTCTCCAGTTGAAAAGTTTCTAATCACTTTTATAGTCACATTTCTACAGCTTTAAAATATTTTTATTTGCTCATCTTGACTAATAAATGTCTGTATCCATATAAATTACACTCTAATGTATTCTCTTCCAAGGATTATCTAAGTCTGACTCTAGACCAAATCAAACAAAACAAAAATTATTAAATATTTATTATCAAATGGAATTCAGTATGAAACAGCTGTGATTCTATGGGACTAAATACTAAAGGATCTCATTATAAATCAATTTTATACTAGAAGATGGTCTCACAGAACACACTTAAAAGAGAGCATTAAAATAAAGTTTCCCATGTATTATTATAATTTCCAAAAACCCAAATAATGATCATTCAGGGGCAGCCTTATCTAATGGTAGGAAGGCTAGAGTCAGGAAATACAGCTTTTATTTCTATATGGTGCTCTGTGACTTCATTGGCTAATAAGGGAACTCCCTTCACTAAAGCAAATCACAATCCAGCTATAATTAATAGTTTTAGAGAGCTGCCTTAAAATTAATATCAAAAGTGGGCTCTGACCCCAGGTCTCCCTGACTCCAAACTCAGTATGCTCTCTCCCTGTTCTGTCTCCTCTCCTGCAGCATAACCTCAGAGCAATCACAACCTCTTTGTCTTTCAGATTCTGCCTTTACAAAAGGGAAACACTGCTGTCACAGAAGCATTAGAAGAACCAGAGAGGAGTATGGTGTGGTAAGAAGGGCCTGATTAGGCTGGCCCAGTGTTTCAGATTTGGAATGGGAATGAAATGAAACACTCGACTGTCTAACGATTAATGATTAAAAGATTTAGTTAGCCACAGCATGCAAAGGACACTCATTCAGAATACAGCTTCGCTCTGTGCTGGCCACGCTGGTCAAGCCTAAGGGTAGAGTTCCTAACTTCACACAGGCAAGTTTTAGTATTTGGGCCACCAGTCAGAAGTCAATTAAGTTTCAAGGATGATATCAATGCCGTTTAAGGAAAGACTATAGTATAAATTACCTGACAGACAGTAGTCTTAACTACTTGGTAGCTAAGACATGATTACCTACTCAGACATAGTCTGTTCTGCCATTGCTACCAAGATTTGCCCTTTACCACCACTCCTTCTGTATTTCCTGGCCTGCCAGGCAGGGTGCTCTTTACCTAGGATCCCCATGGCAGGGTTAATACCAATGCAATACTCCTTTAGAGATTTCTGTTGAGGAGCTGCCCTCTTCTTGAACAAGGGTTAAATAGTTAGTTTCAGGTCCAACCTGTTACTAGAAAACAAGCTACCTTCCTACAATGCCAACTTGGCACTCTAAGTCTTCTCTGGGACAGAACCGTCCAATGACTACTGGGTTCTTTACTGGCAGAAATGTGGAACAGTCCCACCATTCTAGATTATAGTTACCAAAGTCTCCCCTGAGCTTGTCTTTGCCATCGCCCACTCCAATAATAGTTCTACTAGGTCCTGCACTGCACCCTACTTGACTGCTTGCTGTCACTGGGCCCTATAATGCTGCTCTCCGTCATTGCCTCCCATAAAGGTACTTTGTTGGGACCACGCATTGTCCCCCTGAGGTGGGACCTGAGACCTACTCCAAATGACAGGACCCAAGCAGTACCCCTACACTGAGGTTTGTATTAAGGCCAAATCCAATCCGTTAATGAAACTCTCAGAAAGAATCAGTTTATGGGAGCAAAACCATAAGCTATCTCTCTTTTTAACTTTTTGAATAGATGTAATTCCCCTCTCTTCAGCAAATCAACTGAAGTGAATTTGGTACATTTGTCCACACCATCAATTTCAGAAACGTCTCTCAGCTCCTAGGGAAGATCAAGCACTGTCCTTTCAACTATGTCCCCCCATGCCTTAAACCAAAGATTCTCAATGAAGTCCACGTGACACAGCCCTCAATGGCCTCCTAAATATCACAAAATGTCCCAAGCAGTTCTTTGAGCACAGTTCTTAGACAATCTCCAAATCCTGATCCATACACACTGTAACTGTTAGGCCTAGAGACCACTACACTTGCCTAATACAAAATTCATACAAATTTAAAAAATAACAGTTTGTAGCATTTATCATCTTTAGGGCACAGTTCTTAAAGACGTAGAATATATCATATGTCTCTAGACGCTAAATACCAACCATTTACCTTCTAGTTTCCCATGTGTCCACGGGGGACAGAGGCCCAGGAGCCATCTGGGGATCTTGAGAGGATCTCCCATTGCCCTACTCCAACCACAAGAACAACAAACTCATTCTGAGCCAATCCTGTTGACGAGGCCAATTGCTGGGTTTCAGGCTATTTTAATGTTTCAGGTTGAGAAATGAAACAAAAGTGAGACTCTTAGGCCAAATAATAGTTAACATAAGCAGGCTTACTCAGCCATAGCATGGCAAAAATACTCAACAAGTATAAAGTATAGATTGATTCAAATGACTACAGCTTCCTTGTTTTTGTGTTGGCCATGCTGGATCACCAATCAAGTATGAAGGACAGCCATTCCTGCCTCTTCATGGGCTGGCTTTTATACTCAAGCCAACAGGAATTATGTCAATAACTAGAGCCATAGTTCCTTGAGATTACTCCTATCCCATATGGGAATTAGAAATGTGAGCACTAACAATAATTAATGCTGCTTAAGACGGCTCTTTCTACAAACACCTAGTACTGGAAAAAATACATTTTGATTTCTACTTGCTTTTTAATTTCTGAACCCAGTGTTCTGAGGCAGTGAATGAAAAAGCTAGGAACTGCTATTTACTACACCAATACAACGAATGACACTCTAACTCAAGAATAGGGTTTCAAAAAACTGTAATAGTCTAAGAAGAGAAAATCAATATTCAAATAATAATTTACTGCCAACATTTCCAACCAAACATTTCTACAAGGAAAAGATTAACTTCTTATGAACACAGATTTATAAATATTAAAATGCGCCCCAAATAGAAAGTGGCTTCATTATTTGTAACCACTCACTATTAGAATTAGTGGAGCTAGAATAGATCTTCAAGACTCACAGAATGTCCAAACTAGAAGACATATCCAAGTATCATTTAGTCCAACCCCTTCAACTTGTAACTAGATTACAACAGCCTCCAGTTTCTGATTTCCTTCAACTTATCTTTCATACTGCTTCCAGAAAAATCTTTTTAAAACATTTTTTTAATGTCATCCTATTTCTCAAGAGCCTACAAAGGCTCTCCATTATACTTACTGCATTAAGTCCAAACACCCTCTATTTAGCTTTCAGGTCCACCATAATATTGTAACTATCCAACATAATTTCCCACTATTCCTCAACACACACTCTTTACTCCAGTCAGGCTTTTCTCACTGTCCCTTATACTGTACATGCTCATTCACAACCCATCTCGAATTTGCCTTCCTCCACAATGTCGTTTCTAATTACAGCACTCCATAGGAGTCTCTTCCATATCTTCCCACTTAAAAATTCCATTATAGTTATAATAAATATCACATACGTTTGTACTTGATTGTTCTCTAATTATTTTATGTGTTACTCTTATCCCCTACTTCTCTCCAATGAAAATGAAAATTTCTTGAGTAGAAATCCTGTTATATGTTATTTCACATCCTTTCCATCACTTAACATAGTGCTGAATGTAATGTGAATGCATAGTAAAGAGTTATTGCTCCAGTGAAGTAGACTTAGCTTTCAGTGTCATCCCACAGACCTAGAACAGAAGTCAGGAGACCTGTGTAATAGTCCTAAACTCATTACTACCTTGTAAGTCACTTCTCTGGGCTTTTCTTCCTCTCCTCTGTAAAATGAAAGACTAAGGCCAGCAAATTTCTAAGGCCATTCTATCTCTAAATTCTATGATTCCTTCATGAATTTGTGAAGTTGGGTAAGTCATCCATGCCCTTTGTCTGATTTTCCTGATCAGCAAAATAGGGAAAACACCTAGCTCTCAAGTGTTTATTAAGAAACAATAACAATAGGGGCAGCTAGGTGGCGCAGTGGATAGAGCACCGGTCCTGGATTCAGGAGGACCTCAGACATATAACACTTAATAGCTGTGTGACCCTGGGCAAGTCGCTTAACCCCATTGCCCAGCCAAAAACAAAAACAAACAAAAAAAAGAAATAATAACAACAGCTCATATTTATATAACGCTTTTAAGTTTTACAAAACGAGTTAGATATCCATTTAGACTCTAAAGGAAAAAAAAGACTAGTGACCTCTTTGCCAGTTACTCACTCAACAACACTTTCTATTCTAAAAACATTATTCTCTTTATATTCCTAGCTATGAACAACAGAGGCATTGTGTAAATTAATGTATTCTTCTCAACTTCCCTTCTCCTATGTGATTCTAACTAGAATACCAGAGACGTAAGTATTTTAAAAGCAAAGGTTTCCTGTCTACTGAAAGAAGACTATTCAATATACAAATATATAAAGGCAACTTTAGAAGACAGAAAAAGTAATTATCTGAAAGATCACATATACAAACCTAATGATATATTTGTCAGAGAAGGTAGGTAGAAAAACATTCCTTCCAGGGCTAAGGCTACTAGAATGAATAATATTTCAATGCCTTCGCAAAACCACAAAATTTTAAGACTTTGAGAGCTCAGATATAATTCAGTATAATGCCATTATAATGTCTATAAATAATTCCTGAAGAGATGAAGATGTCCCAGGCCACATATAGCTTGACAGTCCTACCAGGATTAGAACTCTGGTATTCTGAGTTAATCTCTTACTCTTTCAACTACAGTACATTGCCTCTATTTGTAGGAAGCCATATGACACCCTCACTGTTTTAGAGTTGATTTAATTTGAATCTAGTATACGTGTGATATTACATATCAATGTTCTCCATAGCCCCATAAGAAAATACATTTCAGAACCACAGAATGTGAGAACTGGAAGGGATCTCCCTCAGCCACATTTTTTGTAGGGTTCTCATTCAGAGACAAATGTTGAACGGGTGTGTTATTTTATTTCCCAGTAGTTTTTAGTAGCCAGTATTCTTGATCTTAGCCTAAACAGGCCAAGAAGCTCATTAGCCAGAATTAAATATCTTAACTCCTGAGTGCTAACAACTACTTAAATTCATATTTTCCTTTGGTAATTTTTCCCTTATGACTAATTTTTCAAAAGAATGAATCATAAATTCTCCAACCTCTGCTGAACTGTTCCAAGCCATCCAGAGCGCCATCAACCTCTTCCAGATATGTCAATCAACCAATTAAAAAGCATTTATTAAATCCTTACTGTGTACCAGGCTAAATGTTAGGCTCTTTGTATATACAAAGAATGAAACAATCCCTACTCCCAAGGAGTTGGCATTCTATCAGAGAGACAAGTACATGTGTGTATACAGAGAAAAAATATAAACAGAATAAATACAACATTGTTAAATACAAGGTATCTTTAGGAGAGAAGGAACTAGTAGTGGAGGAGGAAGAAAGGAGATCAGGAAATGCTTCATGTAGAAGGTGATGCTTAAGCCAAGCCATGAGTGAAAAAGAAGGATTCTGTGAGGCAGAGGGGAGGAAGGAGTGCATTCTGGGCATGGGGAATAGCCAGGGAAAAGGCATGACAGATGGAATGTCATATTCAAGAAACAGAGAGAAAGTGATCTGGCTATATGATAGAGTGATGAAGGGGCAGTAATATATAACAAAGCTGGAAAATATAGGTTGGGGCCAGGTTGTGAAAGGCTTAGAAGCTAAAGAGAGGAGTTTGCCTTAGAGAATACCCACAGTTAGGGGGTGGGATATGGATAATGAGTCAGCAAAAGACTGTGAAGATTCAGGCTTTTGATAACTATAGTAAATCAAAATGCAATCAGTTTAGTGCAAATCCCAAATCTGTCTCTCATTTTCCTTCTCGCTTTCTCTTTCTCCTATTCCAGGAGAAAGAGGTAGTGTTGTCATGAGACACTTGACATTTTCCAGCAGAACTGGAACAAAAACATCAACAAAACAAACAAAAATAGCAAAGTATTGGTACCATGTCTTCAGAAAACAAAAATGACTAAAATAAAAGAGAAGCTGACTGGGCTTACTTTGCTGCCAAACCAAAGAACATTTGAACAATACGCAGTGAAGGAAAAAAGCAGATTTGATTTTGGTAGCTTTAGCTTCTTTGATCTAAAGCAATTAACAAGGATTTTTTTTGAATACTCAATTTTCATAATCTCAACACCAGTCTCTCTAAAATACACTTCCCAAAGTTAGCATAAGTCTCTTGGGAAGCTACTTTTAACATTTACATAGAGCTAAAAATCTCTTTTCAGTTGATAATCTAAATGAATTTATCAATATAAATTTGTTGTTCAGTGATGTCCAACTCTTCAGAAACCCATGGGCCATAATACGCTAATACTGTCCATGAGGTTTTCTTGGCAAAGATACTGGAGTGGTTTGCCATTTCCTTTTCCAGTGTATCACTATACATACATTAACTCAAATCCAGCTTACTTGCCTTCCTCTATTAATGGGCAAGTGAACATGCATACTAAGTTCTAAGTTCTAAGACTAGAACAATGGAAAGGGCACTGAATTTGAAATCAAAGAATCTGATTTTAAATCCCAGTTATGCTTCTTAACTACCCATGTAATCTTCAACAAGTCATTCTCTGGAACTTA